AATCAAAAGACCTAGCTTTTATATAGTGCTTTTCATCAGTAGATCTCAAAGAATGTTACAGATGGGAAACTGAGGCATAGCAAGTCACCCAAGGTCACCCAGCAGGCCAGTGGCAGAGCTAAGAATAGTACCAGGCCAGTGGTCTTTGCCCTTGGCCACATGGTTGCTATGTGCTGCTCCTGTACATTTTGTTACAGTGGACTGGGGATAATGGTCATACTTTGAAATGTTTGCAATGTGTATCTGCGAACAGGACCAGAGAGAGAAATTTCATCCATGGTCTATGTCCCAGCTTCATAACATGTTGGTTACAGTAACTTTAAGCATGTGAGAAGACTGGTGTATCTCATTCCTTCTTTACCCCCTTTCCCCACCATTCCTTGCAACATGTAGCCCCTGACTCCCAACATTTTCAGCTCGTCCTCCCCTTCCCATTAAGCGATTAGTGGCCACTGTAGCAGCCATTAACATGTAAGATGTTGCTCCTTGCTGTTTCCTACCTTCTGCTGCTGTGTACACAACACAGCCAGCAGCTTACTGGAGGGCTACACACACGTTACCTTGGTTATGTAGCCTGAACGGCACCCTGAGCTAGACCCCTCACTCCCAGTACTCACTTGCAGCTGCAACTCCTGCCCCTGCTTCAGCCAGGCTTGCTCACCCAGTTCACCCCTTTTAAACCAGGCCCCTGATCCACACACACTATGGCCAGTCCTGCCCCCTCACCTCCTAGGGTGTTTGTACTTTAACTATTGGTTTTCTGGACTGCAGATGTTTAAATTTGCATTACCTTCAGCCCTCCCCCAGATCCCAGCTCACATGGAGAGAGGCTCAGACACCCCAGAAGGAGCCACGTCCCCCAGATTACAGAACACACAATGGTCAGGGAAAAGAGATCTGTGTAAACTCAAAAGCATGCCTCTCTCACCAACAGAAGTTGGTTCAATGAAAGATATTACCTCACCCATCTTGTCTCTATAGTAACTTTAATTAATTACAAATGACACTTGAAAAGACAAGTATGCAAGCATTTTACTTGTGGGGGAATTATGTGCCCCAAAATTAAAAATTCTGAGCACATTTTAAAATTCTGCAAAATTCTGCACATTTTAGTTGTCAAAATAATACAATATAATCATACCAGTTTCAATTATTTTGGTAATTTATTTCAAAATATCTGTCAGCAGGTATGTCTGTAGCAATACAGACAACAAAAGAAGATTCAGGAAATGTTTTTTGACAAATAGGTTCCTTACTAGGCATATTAATACAAAACTCTGAGTAATAATTCATTTAAACTACAATACAGAAATGTATTTCCTGCACCCCTCAGAAGCACTGCAAGGGCTTGGGGGAGTCAGGGGTAATGGAGGAGTTGAGGGTGAGGGAAGTAATTGCTGGGAAGGAGCTTGGGAGTGAACCTGGAGGATTGGTGGGTGTGAGTGGGAGAAGTATGGAACAGTTGTTTTTCTTGGGGGGGGAGGGGAGAAGAGGCATTGTTAGGGAGTCGGGGAACCTTCATGCAGACTCTGGCTGATCCGTAGCCTCTCCCATTCAATCAGGCACATTTGCCCAGTCCCCCCATGTGTCCCTGTAATCCCATTCAGCCACCCCCCCTCCCCCCCCCCCATGTATCACTGCGCCCCCACTCAGTCACACCCCTCCTGTTCCCATGTGTCCCTGCATCCCCTGCCCCGTGTCCCTGCACTCCCACTCAACCACACCCTTCCCCGTGTCTCTGCACCCCAACCCATGCACCCCGACTCCCATTCAGCCCATACCAGTCTGTCCCCCAAACTAGCCCTTCTGAACCTGTCTATGTGACCCATGAGCAGCCCCTTGTGCCCCCTCCCACATCCTGTGCCTCTCACCTGGCCCCGCAGGCAAGGCACTATGAGGAACACAGCTTCTCCAGGGCTGACTGCCTTCTGTTCTGGCACCACAGCAGCCCATGGTGGGCAAAAGGCATAACTGCAGCACCTCTCTGGCAGTGTGCAGTGGCACAGAATTCCCCCAGGAGTAGCATTTCCTCTTTTCCCTTATGGTATGAAAGGGAGGACTAGAAAATGCCTAATTAGACAAAGATTTAGTTTCACTACTTGCTATTTATTTTATAACTTGAGAGTCCATAAGCTGGAAAGAGTATGCACACTTTTACAACATTCATTCTCTCTCTTTCTGTATTTACCCCTTTTCCTTATGCTCTTTTCACTTTCACATGATTTTAAGATTTCACATGAATCATAGGGTTTGAAAGGACTGCAAGGTCATCTAGTCTAACTCCCTGCCAAGATGCAGGATTTGTTGTTCTAAATCATTCCAGACAGATGCTAGCCTTCTTTTGAAAACCTCCACAACCTTCCTAGGTAGTCTGTTCCATTGTCCTACTGTTCTTACAGTTAGGAAGTCTTTCCTGCTATCTTTTTATCTCTTTTTGGTGACTCCTTGGTGAAGAAGAATTCAAAATGGGGGACAGACTATTTATAAAATAGTCCGTTGCTGTGTTAATTAGAGGGTATTATACAGGTCTGTTTGTGAAAGCAATCAATTGGGGTTAGCTACAGAAAAACCTAGACTACTAATCTTCTAAATAGATTTAATTTACCCTTTTCCTCAGTATACATACCTTTGTAAAAAAAAATATATAAATCTAAAGTATTGTATTTTAACATTTTCTGTGTAGTGGGCTATAATATTCACCACTTCTCCTCATGCAAAAACAGCGCAACAATTGTGAAACAGAAAGTATCTAATACCAGTAACAAACAAACCTCAAATCAAGTATATACAAAAATCTATTTTCCATGACTGGGTTAAAGCAAATAGCAATAGTTCTGCCACCAACGGATGCCTTGTGGCTGCATTTTAAAAAATGCAACACACAGTCCCATTTATATCTTTTGATTTTACTGAAATATCTTTAATCAAATCCGTAAGTGGAAGCTTTGTTAGACAAAAATTTAGAAGACTCCATTTTTAGCCCAAAGCTCTGACTCTATGCACAAAAGAATGCACGTGTAAAAGTGGGTGTGTAGACAAGCCCTAAAGTAAGGTGAAATACCAAATACTTCTGAAGAGCCGCACGTGGCTCCGGAGTAGGGTGACCAGACAGTAAGTGTGAAAAATCGGGACAGGGGGTGGGGGGTAATAGGTGCCTATATAAGAAAAAGCCCCAAAAATCAGGACTGTCCCTATAAAAACGGGACATCTGGTCACCCTACTCCGGAGCCACATGCGGCTCTTCAGAAGTTAATATGCAGCACCTTGTATAGGCAAGTATCAGGGGGTAGCCGTGTTAGCCTGTATCTACAAAAACAACAAGGAGTCTGGTGGCAATTGGGGCACGTCTTCACTACCCGCCAGATCGGTGGGTAGCAATCGGTCTATCGGGGATCGACTTATCGCGTCTAGTGAAGACGCGATAAAATCGAACCCTGATGGCTCTGCCGTTGACTCCGGAAATCCACCGCGGCAAGAGGCGGTAGCGGAGTCGACGGCGGCGCGGCAGCGGTCGACTTGCCGCCGTCCTCACAGCCAGGTAAGTTGACCTAAAATACGCCACTTCAGCTACGCTATTGACGTAGCTGAAGTTGCGTATCTTAGGTCGAACCCCCGCTGTACTGTAGACCTAGCCTAAAGTCTTTAAGGCGCCACCAGACTCCTTGTTGTTTTTGTATAGGCACCGACTCCGGAGCTGGAGCTACAGGCGCCAACTTTCCAATGTGCTGGGGGGTGCTCACTGCTCAACTCCTGGCTCTGCCACAGGCCCTGCCCCCACTCCACCCCTTCTCACCCCCTCCTGAGCGTGCTGTGCCCTCGTTCCTTCCCCCTTCGCCTCCTGCACGCCACAAAACTGCTGATCGGGAGGTCGGGGGGACGGAGGGGGAGGTGCTGATCAGCGGGGCTGCTGCTGAGTGGGAGGCACTGGCAGCAGGGGTGGGGAGCCGATGGGGGGGCTGCTGACTTATTACTGTGGCTCTTTGGCAATGTACATTGGTAAATTCTGGCTCCCTCTCAGGCTCAGGTTGGCCACCCCGATCTAGGGGAATATTATGTATGAATATAAGGAGGTATTATTTTACAGAGCATGGTGAAAAAAGTGCAATGAACATCCAAATGTGCTGGTAGAATCAAACAATGTTCTACTTAAGCAGAAACAAGATGACTAGGTTAAAGTGGTAGTGGAAGTATATGATCCTCTTCATGAAAATCAAGGAGTTCATCACTGATCATATTTTTTTCTTGCAGACTGGATTTGGAGGTTCTTATGGGTGAGAGGGTTTTTTTTTTTGCCTTCATCTGACAGAGAGTGTTTTGTTTTATCTTTAAAATGTTTCCAGAATTATGTAAACTAGAAGTGACAGTGTTATCAAGAAGGACTTCTAGCTGATTCTGGTTTACTACTGTATAATGAATTGAAGAGATGATCTTGTGGTTAAGGTGCTGGACTAGGGTTCATGCCAGAAAGGTGTAATTCCTGACTGTACCACAGATATCTCCTCACTTAATGTCTCTATCTCAGCTCCCCGTCTCTGGAGATACCTGCCTACCACAGTGAAGCACTAGAGGACCATACTAGTAATTATTCACTGTGAATTTCAGCCAGCACACTAGAGATATTATTGTGATCCCTGTGGAAAGTACCACGGGATCTTTGCTGATCCATGACATTAGTTCTACATCTCACCCGAGACGCTGTACCTCACGGTTGTCCTGTGCAGGAGCGGAAGCTGCCTACCGAACAAGCCGACCCCGCTACCTGCAGCACCCTGAGTTTTCCTGGGCGGCTCCCACCTCCCTCCAGCTCATGAGCGGAGACCACAGCCGAGGTGATGCCTTAGGGGTGGGTACAAAGCGGGCCCTTTGCAGGCAGCGCCTGCAATCACTGCCCTGGCCGGTGATTACCGGGGGCGGCTCCGTGCGCCAAGCGAGGCCTACAGCCCGACACGAGACAGCCCGGCCTTTGCGGCTGTTGAGCAGCTAGTTCCCCCCTCCCGCGAGCTGCAGCAGGCGCCATGCTGGCCAAGCGCCTCCTCGGGCAGCTCCTCCGCAGACACAGTAAGGGGAGGGGAGCGAGGGGCTGCGGAGATATTAACCCTGGCGCCGCAGCACAATCCGGAGAGGGGCAGTACGGCCCGGGGTGCGGAAGCGAGTTGCAGCCTGGTTTTGCAGGACCAAGGCGGGGGTTGCAGGGCTCCGATGCTGCCGGGCCGGGGGAGTTGCAGGTTCCAGGGGCGGAGTAGAGGTTTTGCACGGCGGTGGGGAGAAAATGGCAGGGCTGCGTTGCAGGACTCCCGTGCTGCAGGGCCGGGCGGTGGTTATGGGGGGCGGCAGCAGGTTGCACAGCTCCGGGGCGGTGGGAAGATGGCAGGGCTCCGGTGCTGCAGGCCCGGGGGGCGGGCAGAAGGGAGGGGAAGGAGATGGCACATTGCACAGCTCCGGGGTTGTACGGGGGCGGGAGAATAGCAGGGCTCCGGTGCTGCAGGACGCGCGGCTGGCGGGGTGTCCCTGTGGAGCTTCCGGCCTGGCCACAGCCCCTGAGAGAGGCGACGAGGTCCCTGACTGGGAGCCCAGCAGCAATCCCGAGAGCCGGGCGACGAGCCCGGCCCCAGAGGGCTCCTCTCCTGGGTAGGGGCGGGGCCCGCCGGCTCAAGGGGTGGGGCCGGGAGAGCCCATTCTGTGCTGGGGGGGGACGGACCTGACTCCGCCTCATGGGCCGGGCCGGGGCGTGGTAACGGTTCGGATGGCGCGGGCGGGAAACGCCAGCGCTTCCCCTTCGCTCAACTCTGTCTCCATCACCCGCTCTCCCCATGCCGTGCTCCGGAGCAGACCCCGCCGTGTCCCCCAGCAAGAGGCTCAAGGCCTCGGAGCCTGACCTGCGGCTCCGCTTCGCCAAGCTCTCCGAGAACGCGTCCGCCCCGTCCCGGGGCTCGGCCCGCGCCGCTGGCTACGACCTATACAGGTGAGGGGCGGCCCGCTCCGAGCCCTGCCCGAGAGCCCGCCGCCCTTGCTGCCCCGGGGATCAGCCCCCGTAGGCTCCCCGGCTAGGGCCCAACAGCCCCGAGGGCGCGCCCGGTGAGCGGAGCAGCCTCTCCTGGGTAGAGGGTGAGTGGCTGGCTGCCATGCGCCCCGCGGAGCTCGCCCCCATCTCCCGCTTCCCCTGTCGCGGGCCCGCAGAGCCCCTGCTCAGCGGCGCTGGGGTCTGCGGCCTCCCTCCGTTGGCCTAGGAGCGTGGCGCGAGACACCAGCCGGGTGAGCTAACCCAGCGCTGTGCTCTGTGCAGACACGCTGGCTGCAGCGACAGGGAAACGAGCCCCTCACGTCGCAATAAGTGTGTCTGCAGGGGTTTGCGCGCGAGGGTGGCCCCACTCTCATCACTTCTCCAGCCCCTCCACGTTGGTCCCTCTCTTTTCCCCTTTCTACTCTCCTCCAGTGCACCCAGCGTGCAGCAGCCTGCATCTTCCTCTTTGGCTAGATCACGCTGCATTTTGAATCCTTTCATTGGCTTCCTACGGGCTTCCTCGTGCCCTAACCCTTTGCTCACCTTACCATTGCTTTGTCTCGAACATGCTAGCTTTTGTACTTTCTTCCACACTGCTTGCTGCATTTGGAAAGGACTTCCTAATGCTTACAGAGCCTTCCTTTGCCTCCTCCGAGGCCTTGAACATCAATTCTTTCTCAAGACCCACATGTCCTAGCATGTACCAGCAGATGAGGTCACTGTAATTACTGTTACCAGCTTTTTGCTAGTTCTGCAACTGGATCAGCACAAACAATGTATTAGGCTCTGCCAAGTCCAAATATCTGCATCAAATTTTGCAGATTTGTAGGTGGCTCTTACACTGACATTGTGATAGTTCTTACCCCTCAAACCCTGTCTTTACCATGTGTAATTATGGGTGCCTCTATTTAGTCATTCTATTACAAAGAAGAAAGTACCCAAAACATTTTAAGTAATTGTTGACATGTTTGTTTGTTTGCTTGTTTTATTTAGTGCCTATGACTATGTGATTCCTGCTATGGAAAAGGCCATAGTGAAAACTGACATTCAGATCTCCCTCCCTTCTGGATGTTATGGAAGAGTAGGTAAGTTAGCAGACTGTAGAAAAGCTTCATTGAAACAAAAATAACATGTATCTGAAGAAGTGGGGGGTTTTTACCCACGAAAGCTTATGCCCAAATAAATCTATTAGTCTTTAAGGTGCTACCGGACTCCTTGTTGTTTTTGTGGATACAGATTAACACAGCTACCTCCTGATACTTCATTGAAACAGGTTCACTTGCCCTGAGGCTTAGTCTACATGCAGAAATTGTACCATTTAGCCAAGTCTGTTTCTATATTGATTTAGTTAAATGGGTGCCATTCCTTTGCAAGGATGCTCTTAAGCTAGTTTGAGTGACTGCACAGGAGGGTTGTACCCATTAAAGTAAAATCTTTGGAGAAGTGAATGTGGTTAAATGGTGTAATTCCTCTTTATAGACTGAACCTTACTGGACTCCTTTTTAACTACAGCCCATTGATTGTGACTTAATTTAAATTATCTTTAACCTGGTACTCCAATTAGGTAACATGGTGCTTACCTATTACCACATCTTTTGGTGAAAATATTTGAAGATTTGATGGATGACTCATAATAAACTATGTAAAATACTTTGCTAATAAAAATGTGTATAACTTGTTTGAAGTATTATAGAACCTACATATATGAAAATTTTTGGATTTTTCTACTGCATAGTGACGTGTAGTAGCTGTAGGACAAAGCAGCTGATCTGGTTAAAATATTTTAAATCTCTTAAGGTTTTTTCCCCCAATATTCTTATCAAAGTAGAGTACAACTTAATTAGCACACCCTAGTGCACGGGGTCTCAACGTCTGCTGCCCGAGAACCTCCCCACTGCGGCCCGCGGAGGAGAGACGCTTGCAGACACCCTACCGCAGGGGTGGGCAAGCCTTTTGGCCCGAGGGCCACATCGGGGTTGCAAAATGGTATGGAGGGCCGGGTAGAGAAGTCTGTGCCGTCCCAAACAGCCTGGCCCCCACCCCCTATCCTCCCACTTCCTGCCCCCTGACTGCCTGCCCTCATAGCCCCCAACCCATCCAATCCCCCCCGCTCCTTGTCCTGGGACCCCGCCCCCTATCCAACCCCCCCATCCCCCCGCATCACCTGACTGCCCTGAACCCTATCCACAGCCCCACCCACTGACAGGCCCCCCCAGGACTCTTATGCCTATCCCACAACCCCATTCCCTGTCCCCTGACACCCCCGCCCCGAACCTCCACCCCATCCAACTGCTCCCTGTCCCCTAACCATCCCCTGGGCCCTGCCCCCTATCCAACCCCCCACCTCCCCGTCCCCTGACTGCCCTGAACCCTATCCACACCCCCGCCCACTGACAGGCCCCCAGGCACTCCCATGCCTATCCAACCCCCTGTCCCCTAACTGCCCCCCCCCCAACCTCCACCACCTTCAACTGCTCCCTGTCCCTAACCGTCCCCTATCCAACCCGTTCCCTGACTGCACCCAGGACCTACTGCCCCTTATCCAACTCCCCGCCCCCTTACCATGCCGCTCAGAGCGGCAGGACTGGCTTATTGGAAAGCCTGGGAGGTGGGCGGGCACAAGCTGTGCAGCCCGGCAGAAGCGGCAGGTCAGAGCGCTGCCTGCATGGCTGCAGGGGAGGGGCGGCGGACTAGTCTCCCTGGCCGGGAGCTCAGGAGCCGGGCAGAATGATCCCATGGGCCGGATGTGGCCCGCAAGGCGTAGTTTGCCCACCTCTGCACTACCGGCAATGTCTACTGCAGGTGCTGCCCCTGCAGCTCCCATTGGCTGGGGGAGAGGGACAGAGATACCATCACTAGTTGCCGGGTGGAGTCAGCCATGGAGGCAGCATCATTAGTTGCGGGGCAGAGGCAGCAGCATCATTAGTTGTCGGGCAGAGGCAGCGTCAGTTTTTTCCACACTGAATATAAACAAGTCAAAATATCTAACACAACTATCTGATGCACACCTTGCTGCAATCCTGAAGGTTTCAACTGCTCAGTCACTGAGGCCAAACATCAATAAACTGACAGAACTGAAACGTTGCCAGGTGTCTGGCAAACACTAAATTCTCTGGCAGGCGAAGAATTGTATAAAGTTGTATGACGGTTTTATTATTTCTAAGAAATTTGAAATAAAAAATACAATATAAACGTTTTATTTTCTGAACACCATCTTCAGTGACATTATTGGCCTGCTAGGAGGATTTGAGGACTGGCACTGGCCTTAAGGTAAATTGAGTTTGAGACCCCTGCCCTAGTGGAAATAACTCAGATTGCTGTTGGCTGGCTTATGAAAACTTAAATGGTATTTTAGTCAAGTTCCTATTGGAACATGGTCTCTTTCAGAACTAAATGAAAAGCTCCCTGATTTAGATTCCCCACCAAGTTCTAGACATAGAAAACTCACATAAACTAATCAAGCCATTTCTTCCACAGGCTGGGTGGAAAAGGATGTATCTGTTTTTAAATACTTGAGGTGCTTTGATACTACGTTGTGGAGGGTTATAAGTACTTCAATAATGATTGTCTTATCATAAAAACAACTTCTACAATTGTCACTAGTTTCCTCTTCTTGGTAATCTCAAGAAAGGCCAAGGATAAAATGGCTGTAGTCTCAACTATATTCTTTAGTGGTGGTTCCTCCAGGTAAGAATTGAGGTACTTCTTAGGCTTGTGCTACTACTTCTCATTCTCTGTAATTATTATGTGTACTTACATTTACAAGTGGTAAAGGGGGAAGCCTGTCCTGGGTTCTAAATGTAGTAGTGTATTCAAATATTCAATGAAATAATAAAGGACCAGCAACCATCCCAAATTAAGAAAATGACAGTGTTTCCATCACTGTTTACTACTAAAATTCTCCAAAAAAGGAGATTGTACATTTCTCTCATCTTCAGCCAATTTAAAATCTTTTTGGAAATAGATAAAGCTAGTAAGGTAACATGTAATCCCCATCGTAAAGCAGCTTGAAGTAAAGCCTTAGCAACAATTAACTTGCATTAGCAACTGTCATTTAAAATCTGTTAATAGGTTGCAGGCTACACCAGAATTGCAGTTTTAAGTGAGCTAGGTGTATTGTTGTTTTGTGTAAATAGAGTGCATTGCACTATACCTGAATTCTTTGTGGTGATTACTATGGAACAGGTGTTTCAACGGTAACGTGAAGAAGGGCCAAGGAGTAATATAAATGGCCATAGTCTGAAGAACCTTTCTTTTAGTGCTGTTTCAAGGTAAAACAATGCATTTCAGCTACTCTAAATAATCATACACCCAATTCACTTAACCTGCAATCTTACTGTAGCCTGCAACTGTTGATATTGTCACTTATTGCAGCCATGTAATGACACTTGCTGTACATTTTGTAGGATTACATGTAGGTTTTGAAAGGAGCTAGGTCAGAGTTTTTTGTGGTGGGACTTACTGATTTTGAGCAACCTATTGTGCATAGAATACATACTAAAATTCATTTTCAGAAGGTTTCTTAAACTTTGAAAAATGTTTTTCATTTTCTAGCCCCACGTTCTGGATTAGCTGCAAAACACTTCATAGATGTTGGTGGTAAGATGTTTTTCTTTCACAGTCTGTAAATCTTTATTCTATGTCTCAAAGTGAAATGTAGATACTAAAACTATAAAGTGACAACTCAGCTTCATTAATAACATTACTTTTATGGGCTTTGTTAAAATAAATGGAAACTGTGATTTAAGATTTTCAATCATATACCAGTATCTAAGTTACCAAACTCTATTTTGAACTGAATCTTGTTTAATTAAGGTTTTCATTTTCTTACCAGTCTTTCAGATTGATTTGGACTGGTAAGAAGAAAGTTTAGGTCACATTTTTGGGCTCCAGTAAAGCCATAATTCTTTTCTAATCTGCATATTGATTTTTTTTCAGATACAGAAAATAGTAACCAAATAACATTCTCTCTGAAGTAATGCCTGATGTAGCCAGTGCTTAATGGGCCAAATGCCTAACAAACATTCATCAACCAAATGATGATGATAGTTGAACTAAGTACAACATATGTTCCTCTGTATCTCTCAAGTTTAGATAAAGCATTGGGACCAAATTCAACTCTGCCATGAACTCATTTACAGTAGGGTTGAATTTAGACCTTTTCATAACCTCTTGCAGTTCTGGGGTTTACTGTAAACTGTAGGTAAGTACTAGGGATGATTTTTTTTCCTTGTTGTTCTTGTATTTTTCTGTCTTGTTCAGTAAGACAAACTTTCTAAAAGGGCTTGTTGTTTTGCACACTCAGCTAACTACTGACTGCTTTTCCTGTTAGATCTGAATCCCCTATTGTTTCTGTTTTCTTGGATTAAAACTAATTCTTTCATTCTTCCCTACCTATTTATTTTTCTGCCCTGAACTTTAACACAAAGCTATAAACATCATCCCAGAATTTCAGACTTAATTGTGACTGTCCTTGCTTCTGTTAGTCATCCTTTTAGTGCTGTTCTTTGTACTCCATGTCCTCTTTTTATGCCTTGGAAATAGTCTTAACCATGTTATTTAGCTGCTACTTAGTAATAATTATAAGAACCAAAATATTGGCTTCAAGAGTAACTCATTTCTACAGCCAGTTTCCTCCATTTGACTATTAATCTTTTTCCTTGCCCATTTTCACCCTTACAAAAAATTTAATATTTAAAGGTTGTTGGCATATAATTTTAAATGGGTATAAGAAATCATTATTTCTGAGTATTAACAGTATAAAGTAAAGGAAAATTTTATATATATTTCCATATCTAGTTCTTCACAATCAGAAAATGGCTAAGATGACTTAGCTTTGACGTAGTAAAAGATACTATGGTTTTACATCTTATTAATCAAAACTTGGTGGGAAATAATGATAAGGAATCCCAGAGGCAAATTTGAAAGATAAGATTTCTGCTTTATTATTCTAGGAAAAAAATGGTTTGGAAGAAGAATGGTAACTTTAAAATTTAGACTCCGCTCATTATTCAACCTTTGTATAAATTTAGTAAAATCAGAGTGGTTTTGAATAATAGTGAGGATATGATATACTTTCCTCTGAATCTATATCAGTTGTAATTACAGATACTTGCCAGACAAGCTCCCTTATAGCAGTAGATAGGATACGTAAAATAAGTAGGTTATAGGGAAGCTCCAGCTGGTCCACCTTCCCATCAACCACACTCTTCATCACACTCAATACAAGTCATTATATATGAAGATCCAGATCCTGCAGCCAGCACAGGACCCATGGAGGTGGGGGAAGATGGATCTAAGCCATTTGTTTCCCTCCCCTGATCCTGGAGCCAAAGCTGAAACCACTGCCAGTATAACTTAGAACATCTTGCGGGCCCTGTAAACCAGCTGAGGATCACTGCAACTTATTCAGGGCTGGCTCTACCCCTGATATATTCACTATGCCAGCCTAATGTCATAGGGGATTTTCCTTCTGGGGAATCCTATGTTGACCTCAGGACAGCTCTCTTCTCTTTGTGTGTGTCTGATCGAACAAAAGGAACAGGGACAAGATGTGACTGAAATATTTTCCTGGAGTATCTGGTATACATAGTGTATTGTAGAATAAGATCTATGCATCTAAGGTTGTAGTCTTATTACATGATCACAATTCTTTTCTATCAGTGCATATCCACAGGGGTAAGAGTGGGGGTAGAGTAACTTTGGTATTTTCTGAATTGAGTGCTTTAACTGTAATCTTATGTTTAACTTTTGTGTTCAGCATTCGAAAAAGGTGACAGTTCAACATCATAAGTGAAAATAATCATGACAGTTGATAGGGCGCCTCTTATGAAAAATAAGACAGATGTTTTCTTGGATCTCAGTGTCTCGCATAAGCACACTTGACATAGCAGAGAAATGTTTTATTTCAATACAAATGTATTGTCAGCGGTCCCAGGCTGTAAATAAGGGGCCCGGGGAAAAAACTGAGCATGCAGGATTCTGTTCAGAATCCACATCTGCTAGACGTGGATGGTTTTCCAACAAGTGACATGCCAGAGTCTCGACAGAGTAAGGGCTTTTGCATGAAGTCAGTATTTCACTGTGCCAGTTCCAATGCATGATTTTTCCAGTAATGACTTAGATGCTTTCCACCCAAAGTAGATCATGCAGAAAAGTGTCCTAGTGTTCAAGAGAGTGTATAACTTTTGTAACTTGATGTTTTTGAATAATAGAATCCCAAGAGGTCTGTTACGTTAACCTTAAGCAGAGCAAACTTCTGCCCTGCTACCTCCTGTTAATCCATACCAATTACTTAAATTGAGTGCCTCTTATACAGAACAGAGGATGTTTTAGGTTCCTGCACCAAGTACTTTACATTTTGTGATACAGACAATGTAGTTTGAACACCAAATGGAGGTCAGTCTCTTTAAAAAAAAAAAAAAAAAAACCACCACTATTGGAATACTCTTTAAATTCTTTCCTTACCAACCCTTTTTCTATTTGGCAAACTCTTACCCTGCTGTGTTTCTAATGGAGCTTGAAATTAGCATAGCTTTGACAGCATTTTTGCCACTTCATTCTGCACAGCACTAGATTAGCTGCAGCATATTCCAAAATCATTTTGATTATCACATCTTAGATTTAGGTTCCAAGGGCAGATCCAGCCTATAGCATGTATGCTTTCAGGGCAGAAGTCCTCTTTCTCTATTCCATCCTGAAAAAGAACTTTTCACACACACTGCATAGCCTGAGTTTGATTCTTGGCTCTATTAAAGAAAAAAAGAGATCCTAGCAGGCTACAGAATCATTATAACCTCTGTCTAGTTCATAATTTCACCCTAGGAGGTGAAACTGCTTCTATCTAGTGTAATGATAATTTCAGTGGTTTATTCTTTTACTACTAGGACTGGTTTTGACAGATTTCTGTGGCTGAACTCCCCCTCTTAACTTGGCTTTTATCAGACGTAGCCTTTAACTCATGGGGAGGATATTTTTCTCTTCCCCACCCGCAGAAGACAAGAGAGGGACTGAATAGCGAAGTTATCCTACTTAAAAAAAAAAAATAAAAATCAGGAAATTCCCCTTAAGTTGGAGTTTGAAGAGAGCTCTGACTACAGGGAGTAAAACCTCCAAACTCACAGGCCCTGGGGGATTGGTGTGATGGTGTCCCCAGATAGGATCTCCTTCCCGTTTCCTCAGTTAGTACATGGAATCATGTTGTCACTGGCTGAGTCCTCTGGTGCTGCTTGAAGGGACCCAGTGGCAGTTAATTCTGCTGCAAGCACTCTACTTCTGTGTAGAAATCACATAAGACTATACAGACTGTCATGGAGGGTGGTTGGTTCAATGCTTCACCCTTATCTAACAATCCTGTAGAGAAGTTTCTGATTGTCAGAGAGGGGAGCAGATGATGCTAATAGGCAGCACTTCTGTGTAACCTGGGAATTCTGACTGTATAGGTGGATATGATAATCTGGGTCTTGATGTTAAGACTTAATGAATCAGTAAATGGGGTGGATTATGACTGAGAGAAATGGTGCATAACACCTTTTACGAAAGGCAGGTCTAGTCATCTTCAGGAAGGGTTTCTACTAGTTTACTAATACTACCTTCTATGTAGGTAAACTTGCTGTGACTGAATTTGATGTTTTTGGAACATTACTTCAAGGCAGGATTTAGTCCTTAAAATATATGCATTCAAGTCCTGTGGACTTCATCTGGAGTTGCACATGCACATTGGAGTATAGAACTTGGGAACAAGATACCTGTTTTTAAGTTTGGGTACTAGGGAGCCAGGTGTTGGAGTATCTATTAAACAGACCTAAGCTGTGTTTGTTAAATGTTAACTCAGCAAGAAACAGTACTCGGAGGCTATTTTGTGTTACATGTGCGGTTTGTTTCAGGGAAGTGGTGAAATGGAGATGGCACATCAATGCCAAATCTCCATGGCAACATTTGAGGGGGTGATCAGAAAAAGCAGGAGCCTGTTCTTTAAGGAAAATATTTGGATGGCAACTTTATAGCAAACACTTCCAGCATGTCACAGTGACTAAGCTACAGTACTAGTCTGAGATGGGGTTACTGAAGCAGCATTATGAAGCTTTCCTACTTTCAAAGGCCCAGCCAGTAAAAGGTAAAGGAAAGACTTCAGGCCAGAACTTCCTCAACTAGTGTAAATCAGCCTCCAACATGCTAGCTTTTGTACCTTCTTCCACATTGCTTGCTGCATTTGGAAAGGACTTCCTAATGCTTACAGAGCCTTCCTTTGCCTCCTCCAAGGCCTTGAACATCAATTCTTTCTCAAGACCCACATGTTCTAGCGTGTACCAGCAGATGAGTACTTACTGTTACTAGCCTTTTGCTAGTCCTGCAATTGGATCAGCACAAACAATTTATTAGGCTCTGCCAAGTCCGAATATCTGCATCAAATTTTGCAGATTTGTAGGTGGCTCTTACACTAACATTGTGATAGTTCTTACCCCTCAAACCCTGTCTTTACCCATGTGTAATTATGGGTGCCTCTATTTAATCATTCTATCTCCACTGCTCCTCTCAACAAAAAATTGGAGTCTGGCACTAAATAAAACAGTTTATAACAACTCTGAATTTAAAACTTAACCTACAGTAAAGTAACTGTAAAAAGTAAAATGATGACTCTGGCATTTCACTTTACAAACCGTTAAAGGGGCTTAACTCAATGGGGCTATGCCAGCTTACGTTAGCTGGGGACCTGCCCCTTAACTATTGTGACTTTGTTCCACCATCCCTGTTAGGATGCTACGGGGAGAGAGATCTAGCTGATGGTCCCAGCCATCTTATTTAATGCGGTGGCACTAGTCTCCTCCCTACTTATTATTCCTGAGTTTAACTAGTTTATTTTTATGAGCACTAAGCGCATTGATGACCCTCTCAACTTTTCTTTGTAAAGCAAAAGGTGAATGTCACTAAATGTAACTTTATTTTTAGTTTACTGCAGATTCCTAAATAGCCAATTAATCTTATTTTCACTTTTTTTCCCCCACTTTGACTCAATTTTTGTTAGAGGCTGGTGGTATTTATTTTAGAATAAACAGATTCACAATTAAGACAGTTTTTTTTAAAAACCACAGTGGTTTTGTCTATATAACCAGACTCTTAGAATAACATGAACTTCACTACAGAGTTAATTAGTCTCCAGTATGCACAATACAGAAGAGTGCCACTTTTTATTACTAGAATAGGCCTGAGGGTCATGTATGCAGAGCTGTATGAATTTTCTGTTTTCCCAGAAAATAATACCAGTACTGACAGATTTAGAAAGTAAACTAGTAGTAACTACTCTGCTCTAGTGTGACCTAAACCAGCATTGCAAACATAGCTTTGGCATTACATGGGAAGGGAATCTATTAAGTGTATGGGAGTTAATGCTTTAATTAGAATGTTTGAAATTGCCAGGATTCTTCTTTTCTACGGATTTCCGACACAAACTTTAACCAAAGAGCAGCACTAAATTTAGATTTTTGTATGTATATATCTAAGCAGGCTGTCTAAATCTCTGTTGTACTTAAAACTTTAGAGGATGACTGAGCTTTTAAAAATACTAGGACTGTAGTAATCCATCAATAGGCAAAGTCGAACCACTAAAGAGTATTTTGTATATTACTTTTGAAAGTAAAACTAGCTCTGATTATGTTAAATTAGCAAGTTCCATTCTCAGTCTTTGTAATAAGTAGCAATATCTAGTTCACATGCTGGGACAGGAAAAAAATGTACTTCTAGCTGAACAGAAACACTTTGACAATAAATGTCTTAATTAAATAGTTCAGATGCTTAGGTCAGATACTTGGTCAGATAAGGTTGTGACGAACTGGGTCTGTTCTTGCTGTGGTCTGTGAATGCTGACAGGGGAGTGTGGCTGGGATGGTCGGCCTTGGGGGATGGGAGACTGACTGAAAATACCTGAGCCTGTAACATGAGAACCCAGGAGGGGCTGGGACCAGGTGACACCTTTGCCTGGGAGACTGAACAAAGGCTGGGGGTGGGGTCGCTGAAGGTAGAGTCTGGGAAGCTGGCTGGTGAGGTGGCTGGAATGCAGGGAGGGCTCTGACCCCAGGAGGTGGGCTGGGGTGCCCAAGGACCCCAAGATGGACCTAACTGTGGGGTATCCTGTTGTCTGTGCCTGCAAGACCTGTCTTGGACTGTATTCCTGTCATCTAAATAGCCAGCCAGTAAAGCAGAAGGTTTGAGAGTCATGGTGAATCGCAGGACGCCGGGGGTGCAGGGCCCTGAGTCCCCCCATACTCCGTGACAAAGGTACTTAGCTGTTGCCGCACCCATTGGCAGTTGATGGGATTTAGGCTCTTAAATCAGTTATGCACTGCTATGCTGAGTGCACCAACACCTAAATACCTTTAAATATCTGGGCCTTAATGATTTTTAGTAAGTATTTTGAAGCTTATTTGTGTGGACTGTATGTGCTTTCAACCCTTCTACCATATTGCTTCCATTCAGAAGATGCTCCGCATTAGCTGATGCTCTATTTAAAGAAGAACTTCAGTAAGGCTAAGAATATAAGATAGCCAATCATATTTAACTTCATATATGACAGCCAGACTACGTTTCCCATCAATAATGTCAATTTTAAATCCAGAAGAAATCTATTGTTCTAGACAACCAATTTGATGCAGTCCCTTTCTCAACTAAATTTGTTTAATCTTATATATGGGATAGCCAAAAGAAACCATCATATAACTTAACAGCGGTATTAAATGCTTGTTGAAATATGCATGTTAAATTTTAGAAATAACACTCTAGAAAAATGCGATGGGGTCTCTTTAGTTCGTAATCATTGCAAATTAGACTTGCATTTGGATATTCCAGTATTTTAATATCTATTCTCTTTAGAGGATGGATGGATACATTTCAGCACATTAAGTGAAACTACTAATCTAACTTAGTATTTCATGAATATTTTTCTTCCATGATATTAACATCTCTCCATCAATTGTAGATACAGTTCTGAATTACTCCCTTTATTACAGCTGGGGTCATTGATGAAGATTACAGAGGAAATATTGGTGTTGTACTTTTTAATTTCGGCAAGGAAGATTTTGAAGGTAAGTGTTAGATTGGGGAAAAATCTGTATTTGAGGTTGCAGTCAGCCACCTAAACTTGATATTTGCGTATTCCCTAAGGAAAAAATAATCCTTAACTGTTCACCCAAGGTTAAGAATATGCCTCCCTCCTCAACCAGTAAACATATGGAAAATCAACTAAATCCTCATCCATGCCTTGCAACAGACAACCATGAAGTCTTCTGCTCTCAATATAACAGGTGGCATGGAAAGACTTGTAGCTCCAGGACTGAGCTAGTAGCTCTGCCCAGTGGCAATTTTTTCATCGGGCCAATTTCCCTATGGTTCACCAGGAGAGGAGTCCCAGTCTGATGGACCCAACTGGAACAATAGTTAGGAATGATGAAGACCTTCCCCTTTCCCTCCCCACAAACACAAAGATGTCCATCCCTCCAATGCTTTACTATTCTACTTCCCCTGTGCTCCTAGATGTAATCAGAATATATTTTGATTCTGGGGACAGTTATCTATCTAGAGAAATTCAAAGAAAGGTGAGGAAACCAGGGTTGCATTTCAAAAAGGGAGCACTTTCTGCATAGTCTGCAAAAAGTTAATAAATATTTTTCTGGAAAACTTGTCTGACGTTATTAAACTAAATTTAGTGGTTAATGGGAAGTTGAGTGAGTTTTAGTCTTGCTTAAAGTGCAGGTTATGCTCAGAAATTTGAACTCAAATTGCTACAGATGCCTACATAATTTAAATTTCAAATTTAATGCTAATGCTATAATGTCTTATGGGAGTCTTAAATATGGAGGTTAAAGTTGTATTGGGCTTGTTTTAAAAAATAACCTATTAACTTCTCTTAAGTTAAAAAAGGAGACAGAATTGCCCAGCTGATCTGTGAACGCATCTTCTATCCTGAGCTGGAGGAAGTTCAAGTAAGTTACTGGAATGAAACACTTGCATTAGTCTGAGTGTATGGAAGAGCTGTATTTAATCTCTCAAATTCAGAGAACAATTGGGCTTTTCAAAAAGTTATTTACTTCTGTTACTGCCTATAACAACATGTAAATTATTGTTTGAATTAAAAAGGAAAATGTCTGCAGTTTAACACTTAATTCTAAGTCTTTACAAGCCTGTTAGGGAGGTCGGGGATGTGAAGAGTTGAAAATCAGGGATTCTTAAATATAAGAATTACAAACAAACTTTGGTGTTTACTAGAAAGCTGGAATAATTTCAGTTTGTAGACATGTCTGCTTAGTTCTATAATTTATGACAACCAATGCAGTTTGCCCATGTCAATGCAAGAGAAGGAATGGGCTGATAATCCCACCCTGAAATGACCACTTTAAAGAAATAAACTGAAGAGATTGATGCAATTTTCCTGGAGATGAGCAATTTACAGTTTTAAACTATTGAAAACATGGTAGACTGACATATCTTTATTTTGGACACGTAAGATATTGTAAAAATATATTTTAAAGTGTTCTGTTGACTCCTGAACTTAATTTTAGTTTAAAAAATTGAAGCTTATTTATGCTTGTGCAGTAAAGATCTCCTCTATAAAAGAAGATGTATGATTTTTCTGTGGGGAAGATGAAGAGTATGCAAGAAACAAATGAGTATATATTACAAGCATAAGTTTTTAAAAAGCTAACCTTAATAATCTCTTTCAGGTTCTGGATGACACTGAACGTGGTACTGGTGGCTTCGGTTCCACTGGCCAGAATTGAAGAGAGATGTTAGATGTAATAAATTCTTACTGTATTTGGATTTTATTGATTAAAGGTTCTTTTTGTAAACAGTCTTTCAAGAATTGTTTCAAAAGGGGAGTTGGGATTTTAGGATCTGTGAAAGTAAGGGACTCATAACTAAAGCATTATACAAGCGTCTACAAATCTCTGCCCTCTTGTCCACTTCCAAACTGATAGCAAGTGATGTTGAACAGCATGCTGGCTTGCAGTACAGAGAAATCTGCACAAGAGATTTGACAAAGTATTTTTTGTTAACTCCTAGGATCCTGAACCAGTGTTTCTATTGAGATAGAAGTTTAATGGTACTAATTACATTGTCACCTTTGTGCAAGCCAGATTTTCTGACATCTTCAGATAAGTAGTCTTTTGCAAGAGAAAAGTGTGTGAAGCTATCTTGCAGCAGATTAAAGAAAAACATAACTCTCTCTTTTGGAAACTAACAATTTATCTTACGCCCAGATACTGCCTGGTGTAAAGACTGCTTAATACAAAACTTGTCAATGAATCAGTACTTCTGCAGTCCTGTCAGTCTGTCTTTCTGGTAAAAATGTGACCTTCTCAAATTATAATGAGACATTGAAAAGATGCTTAAACACTCAAGTCTTTCATGTAAATAAGCCTGTGAGACTTCAGTATAATGTTCAAAAGACAGTTATGTTGGAGAAATATGATCCTCAAATGTTGTAAAGATGACAAACTGTCATTCAACATCCAACAAACAAGGTTTGTTTAGTTGTAGTTTGATCTGTAAATACAATCCTTCACCTATAGGTGGCTTCAGTACATGCAAAGAACAGAATTGCCATGTCAACAAAATCAGTTCATACAGGGTGAAGTGTGAATAAATACTTCACAGAAAGGGGACTCTGAATCATTACTGGAATGGTCCATCCAGAGTAGTCTTTTAGGTAACAGTCATTCCACCAATTAGCAGAACTTTTTGGAGTCTATCCCAAACCTGATTATTTTTTAGTGTAGGAGATCTATAGCTTAACTGATCTAGTAACATACAGGCGAAGGAGCATGCACTAAAAAAAGGGGTAAGGAGGAAGGAATGTGAAGTAGTCTTTTCTGTAAAATGGCTAGAAGAGTTGTGGGGAAATCTTAAAAAAAAAAAAAAAAAAAAAAAAACACAAAACAAACTTTACCCAGAGGAAGAACTGATTAACTTTTCTGCAATTGCCTGTATTGTATTGCACATCAATAATAAGAAAAGAGTTTAAGCGAATGTTGCAGATCTGTGGAAACTTTCATTTAAGGATGTCTGTACTTTACAACTTCCCATTGCTGAGAAAGGTAAGGGGTCTATAGGATTATGATGAGTGTATGTTCCTCCACAGGTCTACACTAGAATTATTACAGCCAGCGCTGCTAGTGCACACACACACTGCCAATGGAAGAGAGCTCTCCTGTCTGCAGAATTACTCCACCTCCCTGAGCGATGGTAGCTATGTCAGCGGGAGAGCATCTCCTGCTGACATAGTGCTGGCCACACCGATGCTTACATCAGCGTAACTTACATTGCTCAGGGGCATGGCTTTTTCCACACCCCTGAGCAACTTAAGTTATATCCAAGTAAGCACTAATGTAGACCTTCCTGTCTCAAGCTTTGTGGCTCAAGTGCTTTTAGTCCTGTCTCTTCTAGGTTTAAATCATATAATGCTGAAGATCCAGACTCTTAGTATCGTATATGGCACTGTTATCCATGCCAATTTCTCAGTATTCTACTGCCACTCACCTCTTGCATCTTGTAGTTGTCCTAGTGTCTGTTGGAATTTGGAACCTAAATACCAAGTGACCAGAGTTCTGTGGTTGGCCAGGATAGAGAACTTTCTGATGTACATCCAGCTGTAGTGACTGCTTTTTATTTCTGCAACATGCTTAAGGTATTTAATCACGAAGGCCTTAGAAGTTGGCTCACCATGAAACAGTCCATTTCTGATGAGACAGTTTGAGGAGGGCATTTCTCAGTGACCTACTTTTGAATCCATGTTAAAGTGCTAGCCCTGCTCTTTACAACGGTTAGAAAGTGAGGTCCAAGACAGCTTGGTTATCTTGTCCTTTGTGACCTGCTAAAGCAGCTGCACTTGTCAAAGCTTGTGAAGGTAGGTTCTGTTTTAGGCTAGAACTTACAAATATAAATGATTGCTATTGTACTTTTAGATAAGTGATCCCATTACATACAGCATTTCCTGTTCATGGAGGAATACCTAAAGTATTGCAAATGTTAAAGGGGAGGGGGGAGTTTAGTGAGCCCACTCTCAGTAGAAAAACAGCTTTAGAGTGTAATCTCATGAACAAGAAAGGGTATATGCAATAACTATGATATTTTTTAGAGGTGGTTGGTTATGCACGTACTGTAAAACAACTCCCTACACATGTGGACCATTGTGAATCCTTGGCAGAGGATCAGAAAAACTTGAAATGTTTCACTCCATAGTCCATTTCTCACTACCTATTCAGAAAAGCCAGTATGTAGCTGAAGTGAAGCTGCAGGACTCATGCCAATAAGGATCTGGGAAAAAGTCCACCCACTTCAAAGGGAAATTACACTGCCTTTTAGTTCATGACAAACTGAATTCCTCCCTGTGTGAATCAAACCACAGTGCTGAGGAGAACTCTTCAACTGGAGTCACTTACTGAGAGTCCCCGTCCCCCACCATAGCTTTGGAGCTGTGTATCTGGTTCAATATTATAGTTTTGAATGGCAAAACTTTATTCTCTTGTGAAGAGAGTTACTTTTTATAAGCACTTAACTTCTGTAACCCAAAGAACCATGGAATAAACAGTTTAACTGCAAAATAATGAATTGTAGGCTTAACATTTACTGTAGAAGGCCCACTAACTGTAGATTAAGGCCTACAGGCTCCCTTCATGGAAGGGGAAAAGTTAATAAAAATAGTTACTGTTTTTGAAGTAAATCTCTTCCCACCTGGGAGAAGGGTTTGCTGGCACTATCACATCCCCTCTCTCCCAACTGCACTGTGAGGCCCATAGATTTAAGAACACTGACAGAGAGGTTCTGCCCTTCTGTTGTAATCTACATGTTTCCTCTTTATGACTTGCTATGGGGCCATATTGTAACTTGCCATTCAGCTGAGCCTCCAACACTACACACAGACAACACAGAACAAGAGTTAGTGGTGAAACTGGCCATTAAATCCCATTGGAATTTCTGATTGAAATCCTGCAAGGATCAAGGAGAGTGCCTTTCAGAGTAGCTGTTCTGAGTCTTTGCAGTCTGGCCATGCAGTGTTCAGCTGGATTCATTTCCCACCCCACCCCTTGCTAACCAGCTTTGGTTTGTATTTATGTAAATATTCCCACCAGAGCAGGGGCATGAACCTAGGCCAATGAGGAAAAGGGGCCTTACAAGCCAGTTTAAAAATCTGGGATGTGTGGGAGCAAGTGTTTTAAAAATGTTAGTGTACAGATTAATCAGGGCAGTAAATGTATTTATCATTAAAATGGGATTCAAACAAAACTAATGGGGGATGGCTTTTGCATCACAACCGTCTATATAAATGCTGTTGTCAACATGTTTTCTTTGAAACCATTCAAATTAAGTACAAATTAGCTTTTCAAAAAGAACAAAACTAGTTTGTGTAGTTCCATGTGTTTGGCCACCACAGTTCAGGAGAAGCTAAGGACTGTTCTGAATAGCTGTTACTTTCACCTAACTAGTAGTTTTTCCAAATTAGGGCAGTGGACAGGTTGTTTGAAATCTGCCATACCTACTACAGGATGGCTGATCTATGAGGAAAAAATTGAAGTAATTTATTAAGTGCTTTCAGGGCCCAAGTTCAAGGTGTTAAGTAGGCAAGGCCTGCTAGGTGGGGATGGGAGAGGAGCAAAGGTGAAAGGTGCCAAGAAATCCGAGGCTCGCTTGCTTAATTCACAATAAAATCACTTAAAACGTTTATGCGGGATGAAAATTTTTCCCCATCTCCCTTCAGCAAGTTTAGTCTGAACTTGATTTAGTTTAAAACATCAACCACTGGGACTGCTTTAGAGGGAGTGCTGTATCCCCAGAGGGGAGAAAGAGATGTTTGATGTGGACACCTAGGGATGAATACAAAGCAGGCAAAGATGGGATGGCTCCTTCACCAGGGCTCTTCAACATGAATAAGTGGGATCTGGTGCCTTCATGGAGAGAAAAGTAAAGATTGATGGGAATTCTCACTGTCAATGAAGACCCTTCCCTCAGGGAAAGGAAAGGGAAATTACAACAATTTCAATTACGACAATAAGATCTGTGGTCCTGTTTAAGAAATGGTCTGGTTATAACTAGAGTTGGATGAAATCTGAACCTCAAATCCAAACCCTAATCAATCTGCATGGACAGGGTGGCTTTTGAATTCAGATGCTTGGCTCCAAATCCATACCTGTGATTTTACTCCCAGGAGACTGTTTTCTAGTTTGAATTGAAATGCAGCTGACAGCTTGAAACAATAAATATTTTTACAAGATGTGAAACTCCTGAAGGAACAGATTATTGCCATGAGAGTTCCACCATTCAATATCTCCATTTGGGGGCCAAAAATCTTACAAGGACTGGTTATAAATCATTGATACCACTGAATCCAAGACCTTCAGCTTATTCCACACCATACTGAATCCTGTAGCCTAGCTGTGAATCTGAACACAGCCTCCACTGCCCAAGCATAGATATAACAAATGCATTGCCCTGGGGTATGCTCAGAATTATTTTTGTATGCAGAATCGTTGTAGCCGTGTTGGTTCCAGCATATTAGAGAGGCAAGGTGGGGAGAGACTTGCTCTTATTGGACCAACTTCTGTTAGTGAGAGAGACAAGCTTTAGAGCTCTTCTTCAGGTCTCAGAATTATTTTTGGCCCTTTCAAATGTTTTCAATAAATTAGCCACTAGGTGGCACTTAAAGTTTGCTTTTCCATCCTGTATCTTTTTTTGCAAGATATTTTTCAAATTGTTCATCTATAATTAAGAGTGGATGACTCCCAATGGGGCTGTGCTGGCAGAAAGCAAGATGCAGCAATATTTGAGTGAATGCAGGCAAAAGTATGACTATAATTT